TCCAGTTTTCAAGACAGAGTCTTGGAATGGGAAGTAGTAAGGTTTATAATACATGGTGTTAAGTTTATAGTACACAGCATTGCTTCCTTTAAATGACAGAATGCAACAGTGGGAAAGAAGGATGTCGTACATTAACCGTTACTAAACACTAAAGATCATCAAATCTTGTTATGTTATACATGTACAGCAACTAACTGCTTTACAAAAAGCAAAATAATACAATATATTGTCACATGTATTTACAGTATAGTAAATATACTTTTTTTTCTGTCAAATTTTACACAAAAATATTTACAGGGTGAATATACGGCATTAAAAAAAGGATGTGGCAAATGCAAAAAAGTGAGTTCTGTTAAAGTCTGTTGCATAACATTAAGACGTGCTTCATGGGGGAAGACAAAATTAAAGCAGAAACGATGTTGGGGTGTGGTAGGGAGAGAATGTCTCTAATCCTCCCACAAACAGATCAAGAGAAAGAGCACCAGCCGTATCCTCAAATATTCCATCCTGTAAGCCCATGGGTTTTCAAATGTTCCCTGCTTATGGAAAATAAAAGGATGCACATCCGAGTGGAAAGCACAGATGGTTTTAAAAGGATCTTTTTTTATGCACACAGGCACACGTTTAAAAAAAAAAGCATGTTTTAAATTCAAAATCAAGGAAAGATGGCAGAAAAGCACGAGGAAAAAAAACCTGCAACCTGCTAAATATTTACAGTATTTTAACAAGGAGTGTCAAAAGTTAACTTTTTATTTCCCCCCTTGAAGTTCTGACAGTTCTATACTGCAGGACAAAACTAGCTTTTCATGATACTGAAATCCCACTGGGATTGGTCAGTTGTAATACAGTCAAGTTTCTAGCCCTCTGCCAACACCTGCTGATAACCAGAAGTTGAGACATGCTGGTTGAGAAGTGCAAATCCACACTAGGCTTGCACAGACAGGAAATCACTCTACTCTCCAGCAAGTTACATTACGCAGGAAAGCTTTGTTTCATGGATCTATCCTTTAAAAAGAGAAGGCACATGGATACTCACCAGCCGACCCCTCCGCTCAGCAAAAGACACACTTTTCCCCTCTCCCGTGCTTGTCATATTTTTGGAGACAATTTTGATTGGTTGAAGTATCTTGGCTCCCCCCCATGCTCCCTCCAACTTAAAAAAAAGGAAAAGCAGGGATGTACAACTTTGGCAACTTTTAAGATCTGTGGACCTTAACTCCCAGAATTCCTCAGCCAACACTGTTGCTTAAGGTTGCCAAGGTTGGACACCTGTTTAAAGCAAGGGGGCATTTGAAGGTCCGCTGTCCACTGTGGGAGATACCAAGAAGGGAGAAGACAAGAAGAAAATGGGGGGGGGGGAGGGGAGAAAGGACCTCAGCTGGGGGGGCAAAGGAGAGGGTGCTCCCCTCCCCCACAAAAATAAAAGGAAGCAACAGTTAAGGCACTGAGCAACTTAGCCAGAAGGGGTAACAGATTAACAGAGTTAGAAGGGACCTTGTAGGTCATCTAGTCCAACCTCCCGCCCAAGCAGGTAGTTTTAAAATAGGGGGGCGCATCACTTCTGCCCTCTGGTGGAGGGAACAAGCATTTCCAGGCTGATTGAGAAGGCAATGTAGGGACATTGCTGAGACACAATTTAGATGGACATCTTGTTAAACTACCAATTGTGATCTCAGGGGCCCTCAAGTGGTTCAGTTTTTGAGTAGTCCAAACTATCTCAGGCACAACTTTTCCGTCAGTCTTACTGAAATAAGCATTGTTGAAATTTGAAAATCTGCACTATTTTGCAGGCCTGAAAAATTGGAGAGGGTCATACATTTTATCACAACCTGGGTTAACTTTACCATACCCAAAGGTCTCGTAGCATTTTGGAAAGGAAGAGATAGACTGGGACCCAAAGTTCTCTGGCTCGGCTCAGAGAAATGGTCAGGCTGAAAGAAGTCACACTTTGGACTGTCTTCATACAACACGCTCAATCCTAAACTCAGATTAAGAAAACATGATGGCTGTCTTGTCATTAAAGGCTCAAACAAATACGTATACAGGTAGGTAGGTACTTCTCGACTTAAAACAGTTTGTTTAGTGACTGTTCAAAGTTACAATGGCACTGAACAATGTGACTTATAACCATTTTTCAGTTATGACCTTTGTAGCATTCGCATCATCTTGTCATATTTATGACCGTTGCTGTGTCACAAGGTTATGTGATCACCTTTTACAACCTTCTCACAAGCAAAATCAATGGGAAGCCAGATTCACTGAGCAACCGGGTTACTAGTGTATCAAGTGTTGTGATTCACTTAACAATGGTGGCAAGAAAGGTTGTAAAATGGGATAAAACTCGTTTAACAAATGTCTCACTTAACAACAGAAATTTTGGGCTCAATTGTGGTCCTAATAGAATAGAATAACAGAGTTGGAAGGGACCTTGGAGGTCTTCTAGTCCAACCCCCTGCTTAGGCAGGAAATCCTACACCACTTCAGACAAATGGTTATCCAATCTCTTCTTAAAAACTTCCAGTGTTGGGGCATTTACAACGTCTGGAGGAAAGTTGTTCCACTGATTAATTGTTGAGGACTACCTGTAGTTTAAAGCAGGGGTCGCCAACCTTTTGGACCTCAGGGACCACCAAACTCATAATTTTAAATCTCGCGGACCAGAGACCCTGGGAAAATCCCCAAAAAAGTCTGCAGGAAAATTCCACACCCCGTTTTCCTACCGATCGATCATTCATTATTTGGGATCACAGGATACCGTCTCCAGCTCCGTTCTCAGGGAGAGAGAGAGAGAGAGACTTTTGGCTTCATGCAAGGAAAGCAGCAGAAGTCTTTCTTTCTCTCTCCCAAACTCCACCAGAAATGAGTCTTTGTGAAACTTGTCGCGCCAGTGCAGCCTCTTGGAGCAGGATGCCTTGCAGGGTCCTGAAGACTCATTTCTGGCAGAGTTTGGGGGAGAGAAAGAAATATTTTTGCTGCTTTCCTTGCATGCAGCCAAAAGCAGAAGAAGAAAGGAGCGGAAAGAAGCAGCCCGGTGGACAGGACAGGCGCGTGGGGCAAGTGGGGCAAGTTCCCCCCTCTGCCCTTTCCCTCCTCCCCTCACTAACTCGTGTTGTTTGCAATGCAAGCAACACAAGCCTTGTGTTCCCACAGGCCATGTGGGCGGCGCAGCCTTGTGTTCCTGCGCAGCCTGGATTAATTGCTTTGGGGGGTGACATTTCTTGCGGACAACCAAAATTTTTCTCACGGACCACCAGTGGTCCCCGGCCCACTGGTTGGCGACCACTGGTTTAAAGCAGGGGTATCCAATCTTGGCAACTTTTAAGACTTGTGGATTTCAACTCCCAGAATTCCCCAGCCAGCAACTGAAATCCCCAAGTCTAAAAAAGTTGCCAAAGTTGGATACCCCTGCTTTAAAGTGTTGTCCAAGCTCACCCAACATGGCTGGGTTTCTGAACCACAAACTGCCCAGCCTTACTTCAGCTCGGATTTGATGTGTGAACCTATCCTGATGGTTTCTTATAAGGGGAGACTTAACCACATACTATGGGGAGCACATCTGGGTGCATTCATACTGCTATTCCTGGGCCATACCTGTCCTCCCCACAAAACCCCTCTACCACCCCCCCCTTCTTTGTAAAGCTGAGCCCACCAAGGGCTTCAAAAGGTCCCCTAATACCCAGAAAAAGGCAACTCTTCTTCCTCCTGCAGGTGAAAAACTTTCCAGCTGTGGTGCTGCACAGGGGACCACAAAGATGCTGCAATGAAACCAATTCTAAAATGGAATTTAAAACGTTCTTACAATTAGTCTGAATCCATGCCTCTTAAAAGTTCTCTGGGCGAAGAAAACCAGTTTCAGCAACTCAAAAATGCTAACTTGGCTGGAGATTCTTTTTTTTTTTTTTTTGGATTAGCAAAGAGGAGGAGGACACAAAGCAGGGGGCTTCTTCTCAAAACCACCTGAAGTAGGACATTGACTAATCCCAAGGTCAACAAGTAACCTAGAGGTTGTTATCAGCTTTCTCCAGCTTGGTGTCCTCTAGAACAGGAACTGCCAAACCTGGCAACTTTACGACTTGTGGACTTCAACTCCCAGAATTCCTCAGCCAGCATGGCTAGCTAAAGAATCCTGGGAGCTGAAGTCCGTAAGTGTTAAAACTTCCAGGTTTGGAGAGCCCTGCTCTAAAGACGTTGGACAACATCTCTCAAAATCCCTAACCAATACCGCCAGCATGTCTCATTCTACAGGGAGACCAGTTTGGCCTCCTTTAACTGATTGATATAAGTACAATCTGGTTTCCTAGTTTCCAGGCAAGACCAAACATCCCATTGGATGGAAATTTTAGGAGCAGCCGCCTTCCTACATCTAGAAAAGGCCAGTCTAGAATGAACAGGCTTGTTTGGAATAAGATGTTTGGCTCTTAGATGGAGCCACCTCTCCAGGTGTGGTTTAAGTTACCGAACAGATGCAGGTAACCAGACAGAAGTCAAAAAGATTTGGGGCCCTTTTTGAAGAGCCTTCCTTGACTGCCAGGGAAATTTCCCCAACTCACCCACGTTTGTTGGCACTCAGTGATAATCCGCTGGGCTTCCACCTTTCCACACCACTGATTTTTAGCATGTGGTTGTGTCATCTGTGTGGCACATGGAGCAATTTTGGCAGAGTAGGTGTAACTTCTCCAAAACATCGGATTTGGCACAACAATATATATCACAAAGAGACCAGGAAAGAACCTGAGTCTTGGGACAGTGCTGGGCCTCCTCTGAGTACAGAAATCTTCACTTAAAAACTGAAGGAACTTCCTCTTCTTCCATCTTTTCCACTCATGCTTCAATTAAATTCATTTCAGCTACAGATCCAATGGTTCAAGGGAATCCTCTCTTTCCCCATCAACTTCTTTGTGACTTTCCTTGGTTTGGCAGACAGTTGGCATCTGACACTGTATTCGCAGCCTGCCTCCCCTGACGTAACAAGATTAAACAGTTCTTCTACGTACTGATACAATAAAAGCAATTATTTTTATATATACAAAAACACAACTACGCTTTGAATGAATTGCTAATATCACATGCTACCTGACAGTAATAAATCTGGACCTTCATTGTACCATCTCTGAAAGATTTAGCTGTGGAATTTCACTTACTGAAAATCACATTGAAAGTTCATTACAGGGGTTTTAGGGGTAGTTTGGTTACTTGTGGAGGTGTGGGAGTATAGTTTTCAACAATTCATTTTTAATTATTTCCCTGTTTAAAATCAAATTCAGACAGATGGAGCCTTTTTGGACAAAGTCAGCATGGTAAGGTTAGTTTATTCTGTTGTTTTGTCAGCTGAGGCTTCTCAAACCTTGGTGGGAAGCAAGTGTCAAAATGTCAGAGAAAACAGCAAATCCAGGATATTCCACCTCCTTTTGGCCATAAAATTCAGGGGGTGGACATGGGTCAGTGATTTTTCTCTGTTTATTACTTTACTGTGAAGTGTATGCAGCATAGCAATCAAAAAATATTCTATAAAAGCACTTACCATAATTTAGGTCAGCCAGAGGGATGTATATGTGTGTATGAGTGTGTGTGTGTGCGCATGCAGGTATCCATGCAGTTTGTCTAGGGAATCTAAAAAACAAAGTGGTGGAAAGTTTAACAAAACTCAAAAGAGTTTGTTCACTCTTGTACAAGGTGCTATTTTTGGAAGCATCAAGGGATACACCATCTCCTCAAATATCTAGATCAGTATTTCTCAACCATGGCAATTTCTGAGGGAGTGGACTTCAACTCCCAGAATTCCACAGCTAGCATGGCCATTGAGGAGAATTCTGTATGTCAAAGTCCACACACCTGGAAACTGCCAAGGTTAGGAAACACTGGTCTAAATGATTACATAAAGGAGTATCTTGACAACCTAAACTGTGTGTTCCCCTTACAACTTGTAACCTTCAGAACTGGGCTCAGAGGACCAGTAAAAGGAAGTCCACAGCTAAAGAGGACACTACGCTATGCAAGTTTATTGGCCCGAAAAAATTATCACTAGTGTGCAAACAAGATTGAATATTAACACTTTAAAAAAAGTAGACACAAAATAAGCTGTAAAAAACAAACAATCCCCCCAATCAAAATAATCCCTCAACGTAAAAAAAAAAAGAAAAAAAATGAAGCTATCCGAAGTAAGATGACCATGATTTCTGTGTCTTCGGATACAATTATCATCACTTCTGCCTATTATTCTTTTTTTTTTTCCAGTTCCTCACGTAGTCCCACTCATCAGCTTTGAAATCACTGGTTTGAAAATGATCAGAGGAGGAGCAAGTCTTAAAAAAAAGGCAGCTGTATGAAATCGAAGTGAAAATCCAAAATAAATGTACAAGAACTGTTTTAAAAGTTAATTGCCTGGCACCATGTCGGACAGGGGTGAGAAGGTGGGAGGATCAAATTTAAGTGCGGCATGATTGTTTTGGGGACACGGGGCCAGAGGGAATAAGTCAGGGTTGTTGTTTTTAAAAAGAAAAAGCTTCACACCATCTTCTTAACACTGTGGCGCTTGAAACTGCCGGTGCTCCGTTGCTTCTGCACTTGGCTAGCTGAGCCATGGCGAGTCCTTCCACTGTTGGAGTGTGCGGCCGTTGGAGAAAGTTCCACATTCTCTTTGTCGATTCCTTGAAAAAAATGAAATGCATCAAGAAAGAAAGAGCCACCGATAGGCAAATTAATGTAAAATCTTTGGCAGTCGATTATACAAATCTTAAAATAAGGTAACTGGCTGCATCAAGGGAATTTCAAAAAGGGATAAGAGAGAGGAAGGAAGAAAAGGAAGGAAGGAAGGAAGGAAGGAAGGAAGGAAGGAAGGAAGGAAG